ATCGGGATGGGTGTGTCAGAGGCGGTGCGGTTGGCGCAGGATAGAGCAGGGTTTAGAGCTGTTGTGCATAGGGTCGCTATGAGTCGCAAACGACTCGATGGCACATAACAACAAGAACAATTGTCTTTCAGTCTTCGTTCCCCTTTTCAGGGCACTGAGAGTTGGCTCTCCCATCATCCCAAATTGTAAAAATGCTACATTTATAAACCACATCATTGTGAAGATTGTGTGTGTGTGTGTTTCATGTGGTTATTGCAATGAATTCTTGAATGCAGCAGAGAAGTAGTGTGTCATAAAGAGACTGAATTCAGAATTTGTTAAAAATTAGCAGATGGACTAATAATGACTTCATAGAATAAGCCTGGGGCTAATGATGATTTATGATCTTGATTCTCCACCTGGCCCTCAACCTTGTGAAATAGAGGACCTCTCACACCACCTTGCATCCTCTCACACCACTTTGCATCATTTTTCCCCCATCTTCAAGGTGACATCTTTGCTTTTAAACACTTTAAAAATATATATTTAGTGTATCTTCCCAGTTTGATTTCTTGACTGCTGTTCACATGGGCACTGATTATGGAGTCATGTAAAATTAAATCCTTGACAATTTCAGTATTTACTAATGTTCAAAAGCTATTAAAGTTATCTAGTGCTGTTATAAGAGAACTATCACCAGTAGATGGCTTTCACAAACATATTTATTCCATTTGGGAGGCTGGAAGTCCCAGCTCTCTGGGAAGGTGCTCTCTTGCACTCTGTGTTGGCTCTAGAAGAAAGACAGTCTTCTTTCAACATCTTGGAGCTCAGTGTTTGTTGAAGATCTCCACATGTCTTAGTATAAGAATACCCCTGGGTCTAGAAGGTTCTCAGCACAGAGACCCCAGATCCAAAGGATACATTTTGCTCTCAGCTGTTCTTTCTTGAAGGTGCTCTGGTGATGTCACCCCCAGCAAGTTGTGCTACTAATTAAAAGGCTACACGTCTCCAGCAGTTCACAGCTACCAGAAGCTCCTGGGATAAAGTTGAACACACACACACCTCCCATTGTAATTTATAGCCCCAGTAACTGATATGCTATGAGTCAGAAGTGACTCAGCATATTACTGTGTGAGTGAGTGATAGTCTTTCTTGGTGGTATTCAGGTCCCTCTTTCTTTGGTTACTTTTTTTTCCCGCCTATAAGATAAAAAGTGATCCAGGCAGTGCCCCAAGAAAACTTCCCTTACATCAGATCAGGACTGTGACCTGAGCAAAGCTATTGCACTTTACCCTTGTCCCCTTGTACAAATGATTGGTAGATCATGTCATAGGAGATGATTACATCCACTAAGATCATGACCCAGCCAGACTGATATACCCATATATTGAGCTGGCAAAATTCAACCTGTGACAGAATGCAACCCCACTTCCTAGTGACTGCTCCAGATACCTTCAGAAATGTCATGCAGCACTTTTCATTCATTGTTATTCAGTCTGTGTGGATAAAAAGTGAGTCACCACTAAAGGAAACTGATATTCAAAAATTCAGATTGGGTTGAAATTTTGGCTTTCTCATGATCCTCAAATATACAGAGCTTCAGCATCACCATTTTGAAAAGGTGGAGCTAGTAATACCAAACACAGAGATCTTTTAAATAGAGATATCACTAAAACTTGATCTCAAGCTATCAGCCCACTTCCCAATCTCTCCATCCATTTCCTTTATTATTCCAGAACATTTATTTGGCACTACCCTTTGAAGTTATGAATATAATTAGTGGACCAGGAAATACCCTGAACCTAGCCTTCTTTCTGTTTTTTCACTTCTCCATTTTACAGTTCGGGGACACCTACAGAATTTTCTGATTAAATTATTCCTTTTGTAACCTTGAAATAAATAATTGTGTCTATAAAATAACTACGTTATATTAAGAGAGAGGCAATAATGGATTATAACAGTCGTATAGATTTGACCATATCACATCTCGTTTACCCCTACCTGTGAGGTCAGATTCTTGTAGGGATGGCGAGAAGCCATCTCTGGACCTCTGTTTACAATGTTTGCTTTTCCTAAGTGTCCACTACCTCCTGCTCACTGATGACTGGTCCTTTCTCCTGAGGTGCCTAAAAGTGGACCCAAATATCTGGGTTTTTGGTTAGCATCCAAGTACATTAATTGTTTACACTATTCAGAAACTCAGATAGACCTTCACCCACCCCATCCCCTAGAAAGTACATTTTCCCAAGCCTGGTGCATTGTTCATTGCCAAGACACATTATCACTCTCTCCTGATTTTCCAGCCAGGAAATAAAAGCCACTCTAAAATATTTCAAAAAGGCAAGTTCTAAAAGCAATGCATTTACCTTCCTAGCTTTCAAAGGCCAAATGCTAAAACAAAAACAAACAAAAAAAACCAAAGGAAAAAAATTTTAAAGGCAAGCATAAAGCTAGTAACTGTACCAACAGACATTGTGACAGAACCCTAACTTTCATGTTTTCCTGACCTATATCAAGTAGATACTAAATGCCAAAAGAATATTGATAAAGTGAAACTAGTTTGGACCAAAAACAATGAAATCTCACATCATGTCTGCATTTTACCATTGACTTGAAAGTATCCTTAGAAAACTGAACATTATAGAAACCCTGATGGGTTTTGGTAGTGGAATGTTTTTTAGAAACTATATGTGAGGTTTTTATGCAAGTTGCTGTGGTTGTTGGGTACCACTGCATCAGGTACAACCCATAGGGATACTATGAACACCGGATCTGAACCATGTCTTATCCTGTGCACTAAGAATAAGGGAAAAAAAGGAAAAAAAAAGCCTACATTCTTCAAGCTCCCTTAAAGTCAGCTCTTATCAGTGAGACAGAGGAAAAGCTTCTTAAAGGAATAAACTAGTATTCACCCTTTTCTCCTTTCCTTCTTCTTCTTGCCTGAAGTATATTTGTGAAAGCTGGAGCTCCAGCAGCTATGTGTGTAATGAGTTTTGTGACAGTCTGTTAACAGAAAGGTTAATGGTTAACATCCACAGAAGAAAAATAAGGCAGTCTCTTCCTGTTAAGATTTACAATGTCAGAAACCTGGTGGAGGGAGATTCCATGAGTTGAAATTTACTCCACGGCAGTGGTTTTGGCTCTCTTTTGAAGGACATAGGGGTTAAGGATGGAAGTTCAATGCTAAAATGAGGGAGCAAAAATTACAGAAGCTGAAGGGTTGTGGATGATCACGTAGCTGCCACACCAGTCCTATGGATTTCTATTTTTGAGATGAGTTGGTGTTATGGACTGAATCGTGTCCCTCAAAAGTATGTGATTTTCATACTATTTGGGAATGGATTCTCTTTGTTATGATAACGAGGCAGAATAAATGCAAAGCTTTTCTTGAGTCCATCTCTTTTGAGATAGAAAAAAGAGAGCAGAAGAGGGGTGGGTAAAATAAATGAGAAACCATATGGAGATCTCCGAAGAACCAGGATATAGAAACTGAAGAGGTAAGAACCTTCTGCCAGAGCTGACAGAGAAAGAAAACAGTCTTGTGGAACCACCCATTCCCTCAGTGCCATTGAGTCAGAACAAACTCATTTGAATTATGGCTCTAGTAGAGAAGACTGTTGACAATAATAGATACTGCTGATGTATAGAGTTATTAAATCTGTCACCAGTCTTACGCAGTCACCAAAATAGTGGAAAAGTTTCTGTGAGATGAATTGACATGGAAACTACCATGATGTGCTTGAAACATGATGGAAGTCATGAGGACAGTGCAGAATAGGGCACCTGTTGTGACCCTATGGTCACTATGAATTGCTATCAACTCAATAGCACCCAGTAACAATGTGGTCAAAATAAGAATGTAAGAAAGAGAATGTACACAAATGTGGACAGGTGTTAACAACTGGAACATCTAGGTCAAGAACATGCATGTTGCAGAAGCTCTGTGCTTTTCTCTAAGTTTGAAACTTTTCAAGACGTGAAGCTTTCACAAAAAGCTAAGTACACTGATTTGATTGAGACCATTTGATTGAGGGCAGTGACACTGGCAGACAAACAACTGGGTGAGGCCCAGCAGTGCTTGCTTTGTGGGCTGTCTCTGCTCAGGATTGTCTTGCAACATCCAGAGAACCTGTGGATAGAGGAGTGGAGCTAAAACACTGTATTCCGTTACAAGATGAACAGTTCTCAACGTGTGATCCCAGATGCAGAGCCAGGGTATCTTCCTAAGCCCCACCTGCAGCAACATTGCCATCCACTCCCACTCCAGGAGAGCTGGCTGCCTTCTCTCCATTGCAAAGCTTCTCAAAAGCCTGCTCTTTGGAGCTCGCCTCTAGGTTTTATACTATTTTTTTTCATGATCTTGAACCCACCAGAAGGGAATAAATTTGGCATGAAAGGCGCCGCCGGTTTCCAGTTGTCCAGTTCCTCCACTTCTCTTATCTCATTCTGCAGCTTGTTGGCTTCCTCCTTCATCCAGAAAGGCAAACTGTAGACAGGGAAAAGAAGACACCTAGGGTTACGGATTTGTCTGACACAAAAGTTACAAATTCCATCAGTGGACAGGACAGTACATGCTAAAAAAGGAGACCTCTGTCTCTCTGTCTTACTTATCTTGTGCTACTGCAACAGAAATATCACAAGTGGGTGGTTTTAAAGAACAAGAATCTATAATCTTACTCACGGTTTAGGAGGAAAGACTTCCAAATCCAGGGTACTCTAGGAAAAGGCTACCTCTTACTTACTGACAGCTCTAAAGGAAAATCTTTGTCTCTCTTCAGCTTCCGTTTCTCCGTTCCTTCTTCACTTTCACCTGGCAGCTTTTATTCCCCATCTATTCTTGTTTGTCTCAGTGTCTAATAACTTTTTTGTTATTATTAATGTGTGTGTGTGTGTGTGTGTATGTGTGTGTGTGTGTGTGTGTGTGTACCCGCGATCAAATCAGATCTGACTGGTACAGGAGGAGATTGTCCCTCCTTCTCCAGCAGAGCATCTGGTGGATTCCAACTGCTCACCCCTGGGCTTGCAGTGCAGCTTCTTGCCACTAGGCCACCAGAGCTCACTTAATAGACTCTTTTTATATAGCTAAAGTCCTTAGAAAAAGACTTTATGCTGGGAAAGGTAGAGGGTCAGAGAAAGAGAGGAAGATCCTCAGCAAGAGGGACCAACACAGTGACTGTGACAATGAGCTCGAGTGTTTCAGAGATGGTTGGGCTGACATAGACTAGGGCAAGGTTCAGATCTGATGTTCATGAGGTCTCCATGAGTTGTACTTGACTTAATGGCACCTAACAACAACCACAACAAAGCAAAGACTCCAAAGGCCCAAACACTGAAGCTTGACGTTTCTTGATGTTGGAGAGGCATGGCATAGCCCAGGGAGTTCCAATCTCACTTCAGGCCTGTCTTCATTCAAAAAGCTTTTAAATGTTTGTGCTTTGAGTAAGTTTATAGAAATAATTGATTTTCTGTTCAACAATTAATAAACATTTGTTGCATTACGCTGATCCCAATCCCCACACTTTAACAGTACCCATGCTACTTCCTCAGGTGTTTATTTACTGTCTCTACTATTCTTTCTTGCCTACCCTTTCTTGACTTCAGAGTTTTATCCTTGGGCTAAGGCTGCCCTTCAGTCCATATAGTTGATTGTTCTCAGAGGCGCATACTTCCTTGGTGTTATCACCAACCGCTTAGCTCTGACTATTGTTTGGAAGTTAAGCCATGGGGTTAAGTTCAGTTTCAAGCTTGAAGAATGACTGTGGCTGTAGTCTTGGGGGTTCCACAAGTCTCTTTTAGTCTGGTGGTCCACTTAAATCTTTTTTTATGATTTTGAGGGGGGTTTCCGCTATTCTTCTCCCACTCCGTTCAGGACCTTTTATTGTGTTCCCTTATCAGAGCAGCCTGCAAGTGGTAGCAAGGCACCATCCAGTTCCAGTCTCAGGTCACAGAATCCGTTAGTGTTTTAATTGATTCCGTGAGCCTTTGTCTTCCTTCTTCTTTGCTCCAGATGAAAGGAGACTAATGAGTGTGTCTTAGATGGCCATTCAACAAGCTCTGAGGACCACAGTCAGCTTTCACCGAACTAGGATCCACAAGACACTCTCTTTGTGGACTGTGTCATGCCCAAGGGCCTTGTCATCCCCTACAGCTCTGCAGACAGGTCTTTATGCTACAACACACAGCAATGCCAAGGTTTGTTAACACCTACTAGCAGCTAAAACAATGGACCTCCCACTAGAATCACACTAGGTTAAACTGTGGGGGTGGGAAGAATCATTCGTCTACTTGTGTTTTTTTCTCATGACAGTACTAAATATCTAGGACACTTACCAAATTTGTCTCCAAAAACTCTCCTTACAAACCCCGCCACACCTTCCTGGTGGGAGCCAGAAGGTGCTTATGGTTTTAGAGACTGTGAACTCTTCCAAAGGATAAAATTACAGCCAGCATATTATTATAAAGGAGAAATAATGTAAGACATGGTGGAAGAACTCACTTGGGAATAGATGGGAGAGGCTCAAGTGGAATGAATGTGTCAAATTTCTTTTCATAAGGCACTCTGAAAAATAGGAAAGATAAAACGCTAAAATCGGTATTACTTCTCTGGCAAAGAAATCAGTACTTCAGCGTGGTCAATAAATAATTATTTTTCATTCTCTGATACAACCTTTTTGCCTAAGAGCTTCAAAACTTTAACAGTCACAATTTTCATGGTTTTGATCATTTTTAGTAAACATCACTTAATCACATGTGATTGATTTTTTTAAAATAGTATTTTAAATGTAATGCACCAGGGGTAAGATGGCCAACAAGGCAGATGACAGCCCAGATCCTCTTCAACTAAGATACCAACAAACAAAAATAAAAGATGCAGGCAATCGTTCTGGAAATGAGAGTTTAAAAGGAAATGTAAAGTAGTTCAAATACCGACTGAAGGAAGAAACAGAATTAAAACATCAAATAAGGAGAGACAGACAGAGCACAGAATTTAAACGGCAAGATGCAGCCAGTTGGAACACTTAGAGGTGGCGATTTTGTCAGAAACCTAGAACTGCAGGAATGGCTGTACCAGCAGTTGGCTGATGGCAAGAGATCTTCCACCCTGTTCCTATACCCTCCTGGGGTCCAGGAGAGTGACTTCCCCACCCACGTATCAGGTGGATGGCAGCGTTCCTCTGGCCATCCTGGGTCCACCTGAGGCCAGGCCTGCACCCTTTTGTAGCTGGCACTCCGAGTGTGTACACAGCTCTATATTCAGAGAGTCCATCTGGGAGCCTGGCATGTGGTCAGACCAGCCTGGGCTCCACTGAGGTGGGCAGAAACACTGTCCCTGACTGTGTGCCCATCCCTCCACACCTCCCAGACCATACCCTGGGGCCTCAGCCAGCTCAGAAACTCTGACCTGACCGGGCACCCCAACCCAACTTTCTGCTGGCCCAGCAAACACACTATCCAGAAATCTTGCCTATGCCCACTACAGTAGGGAAAAGAGCATCATTTAAGCACCCAGTACACTCTTTTTTTCTCTCTTTTCATTTTTTACTTCCCATTGCTTTTAGGACTTTTGTGTGCCTGTTGACTTGTTCTTTTGTTCTTGTGTTTCATACTGTTTTCATTTCTTCTGCCTCTTCTGCCTTTCTAGGTAACCTCCCCTTAATGGTCTCTGCCTCTGTCTGTTTGTATCTCTCTCTGTCTCTCTCTGTCTGTCTCTCTCTCCTTCATGTTCCAATTCTCCTCCTCTTGCACCCCTCACAATATTTTTTCCATTTTTTTATATTGTTCAACCTTATTAGTGTTTGTTGAATGTTTTCCTGTTCTTTAGCGGGGTTGTTTCCCTTTTTCTTTCTCCCATCTGGCAAAAGACAGCAATAGTATCCAACCACACAAACCTCATACAAATTCATCCCCTGGACAAGAGTAAAGACCAACTCCTGCTCCACCAGCTCAACCAATACCAGCCTGGGCTGCCCTCAACTGTTCCACACAGTGAACAGAGAGCATACACCTCTATCATACCTCATGTCAAAGAAGACAGGAAGTTCTCCTTTGTTACCTGTAAAGGAGAATCAGTAAGACTAAGCTCCGATTTCTCTGCTGAAATCATGCAGGCAAGAAAGTAATGGGATAATGTATATAAAACTCTGAAAGAAAAATGTAATACATTCAGCAAAACTGTTTCTCAACTCTTGACAATGAAATAAAGGTACTTCCAGATTAAACAGAAACGAAAAGAATTTGTAATAACTAGACCAAACATACAAGAAACACTAAAGGAGGGCACTCTGGTGGCCTAATGGTAAGAAGCTGTGCTGCAACCTTGAAGGTGCACGGTTCAAATTCACAAGATGTTCCCCTGGAGAAGGATGGGCAATCTCCTCCTGTGCCAGGAGGATCTGATCCGATGGCACACAACAACCAAAAAGAAAAAAAGAAGAAAATCTAAAGGGAATTTTTTGGGCTGCGAACCAACTAGGACAGACAGCAACTCAAAATGAACAAATGTGGCAGCAGCATCATTCAGAAACTGATCCAGGCATAGAAATGCATAAAGTGAAAGAAATGTGTGAGACTCTTATGTAGAGAACCAGAGGAATCCTTCCATAAATTATAACAATTACAATGCAAAAAAAAAGAGAGAGAGAATAATAAAAATGGAGTTACAGAACTGGAGAAGAACTCAAGGTGATTTCAACATGAGGTCAACTGGCATAGATTTGGGAATAAAAATAGTAAGAGAAAGGTTATTTCCAATAAGTAGATGATCAGCACAATGTCATTAATGTACCATTAGTCAATTGACTAACAAGACACAGGGAAGTATAGAAGGATTAATGGAAATCAGAATTACAGTGATTAAGTGAGAGAAGTGAGATTACATCGTGTTATTGAACAAAATGTGTATGAATTGTTCTATTATGAACTTTCACTCTAATTATAAAATAAGAAAGCAACTTGACAATAGGGAAAAAAGACATTTAAGACACTAGTTATTTCTCTTTAATTTCAATGATCTTCTTTTCTCAACACTTGGGTGTAGTTTAGTTTTCAGTTTAATCTAACCTAAGTAGATGTCACTAACCAACAATCTGCTTCAACACTGAAAATTCTTCACATTTGTCCTTACAGTAATAAGAGTAACAATAACAACTGCTTCTAAATGACAGTCACAGCCTTGTGTATAATAATTTCAGTTGCACATATGTGTACATACATGAGTACTACAAATTATTGTTAGCGGCTGTTAGGTTGACTTGAACTGACAACAACCCTATGTAACACAGCGTAACACTTCCTAGACCTCACAATCACCACTATGATTTAGCCTGTTGCTAAAGTTACTGTTGTCAATCCATCTCATTGAGCATCTTCCTCTTTTCCTAGGACCTCTATTTGACCAAGCACGTTGTCCTTCCCCCCAAGGACTGAGTCCTACACATCCAAAGTACATGAAGCAAAACTTGGCCATCCTTTATGCTAAGGAGCACTCTAGCTGTAATCTTTCCCAGATAGATTTTTTTTGTTCTTCTTTAGTCACTAAATGCCATGACTTAGATCAGATACTTTTGTCTGTGATAGTTTACAAAGTGTTATCTTTGCTTTTTGTACTTTTAAAAAGCCAATGCATTTTAATTAGCTGGATATGAAGGGAAATCAAATGACAAATTTCATTGGGGAAATGTGCTGTCAGGGACTTCTCCAGAATACTGAACAGCAATGATGTCAATCTAGAGACTAAGGTGCACCTGATTCAGGCCATGGTCCTCACAATAACCTGTTATGCATTAGAGAGCTGGACTAAAGAGTGTGATTAAGAGATGACAGAGTGAGTAAGGATGACAGACAAAGAATCAATGCCTTTGAGTTGTGGTGCTGATAAAAAGTGTTGAACATACTGTGGACTGCCAAGAAAACAAACAGGTCTGTCCTGGAGAGAATGAAACCAAGCTGCTCCTTTGAGCCAACTATTTGGAAACTCCATCTCACATACTTTGGGCATATGGCCAGAACAGACCAGGCCTTGGAGAAGGACATCATGCTCAGAAGGATAGAGGGACAGCACTAGAGAGGAAGAACTTGATGAGATGGATTGACACAGTAACTGGGGTAATGAGAGTAGGTGTGTCAGAAACAGTGAAATTGGCTCAAGATAGGGAAGGGTTTAGAGCTATTGTGCTTCGGGTCCCTATGAATCACAGGTGACTTGACAGCACATAACAACAACAGATATGAAAGGCTTTTTTTTTTTCAGTTTTGAGAAATATTAATTTCTTTTTTTACATTTTCACCTAATCTTGTTCTGTTTTGATCTGTATACTTAAAAAAAAATATTTCAACATAGCAGAGAGAACAACAATCCTTTTAAAGTTACCTAAATAACCCTGGTATTAACTTACATCGCAAATCTTGCTGCTGGAAGAGTCGATCCTGCTTTGTAGAAATCTTTACTCTGTTCTGGGCACATATATGGATTATCCCCTGGAGTTAACTTTGGAATTCCATTCCTGGGATCAATATCTGTGCAAAACGGTTGGAAATTAAAGCATACAAAGGGCTGAAGATGATTCACAGAGTCTTTCTGTTTTTTTAATAGGTTTAAAGTTAGCTGAGGCTCTATGCTGTTTCTATACTCCTTTGATTAGATCATTGATAGATCAATAGATAGAAATGATACAGATGTAGACATAGACATAGACGTAGACGCAGACGTAGACGTAGACGTAGACGTAGACATAGACATAGACATATAGACATATAGACATATAGACATATAGACATAGACATATAGACATAGACATAGACATAACTGGTCACCTAGTGGCAAAAAGCTGCACTGCAATCCCCAAGCCACAAGGTTCAAGACCACCAGCTGCTCCTAGAAAGAAGGATGGGCCAATCTCCTCCCTTGTGTTAACTGCCTCTAAAAACCCACCTTCATAGGGTCGCTATGAGTCGCCTGTGACTCGACAGCACTTAACAACAATAACATCAACAGAGAGAGATCAGCTGGCCCAGTGGACAGAAAGCGATGCTACCAAGCCAAAGGTGGGTGGCTTTTTTTTTCCTTTTCCCACATTTATTAAAGCTGCATGCTGAGTAAGTAATCTGAGAATCTCGACTATATGAAGAAGATTATATAGCTTTCATGCAAGTATATTTTATTCTCATAAAGATTTAAAGCTTTAAAAAAACCAATGTAGGGTTGCTGGATCAGAATCAAAATCTCTGTAGATACCACAACAAGATAAAGGTAAATAATCCAATAGAAAAA